CCCCCTGATGGTTTGACCCTTTTGCAGGTAGTCAATAATGATAACCCCCTCACTTTCCAAGAAAACAGAGGCAAAAACCTTTTCAACGGGTAAAACTCGCTTGGGATGCTGGGAACCGTTCTTCATCAATTATTTGCTCTGCTGTTTGATTCGGAGTGAAAGTGGTGAACCCATGTCTCATATTGGGTGACAAATCGTTTGAGTAAGTTGCCTTGATGGACTGAGTTCGTTCCTTGAAATGCCCAGCCTGATTAACGTGTGATGTTCAGAAAACATTCTAGGCACCCATCATGCAGACAGGTTGCTCATCCCCAGGATGTACGACAAAACATTGTGAACTGTACCACAAGTCAGGCCAAAGACCCTGCTACAAGTTGGACCGTCTCACACCTGTCATTTACTACCATGTGATGGATGGCCTCAACTGGATTGTCCATGGTGCTGATTTGTAGCATCCTGACATATGTTCATCTTTTGTGCTCTCCTTGACGCGCTTAGAGCTAGCAACCCAGTTCTTTGTGGTTAAATAAGAGGGGGAGTCATCACCAAGTGACTTGATCATGTCTTTATGGATTTCCCTAGTAGACATAGCTTTTTATCGATGCACTTGAGCATAGCACACGCTTCTGGTGCGGCCATTTTGTGATTTTGCCCTCACCCGCCCAATTTTCACGGGGCATCACGTGCTAATTATTGAATGCAAAAATTTGCATTTTTGTGGGCAGTGATGTAAGACGTCATAGTATACAGTTATGCTAGAGAATACGCGTTTGACCTCTAATTTCTAGGTGAGGCCGAGAACTTTTGGATCACCCCTCGTATATGCCTATTTCTGTAAATGTTTAAAATATGGCCTACTTTTAGTGACAAGTATACAACAACGACACAAGACTCCAACCTCCACAAGCCCTTATTTGATACACAATACATATATGTACTCCTCTTAAAAGATTGAGTTAAATTGACATCCTACTTCGTTATTTCTAGACCTTCAAACATAGCCGTTTTTGCTAATTTCTGTATGTATGTCCAAAATATGGCCTACTTTTAGGGAAAAGTACACACCAACGACACAAGACCCCAACCTCCACAAGTATTCATTTGATACACAATACATATATGTACTTCCCTGCAAAGATTGAATTCAAATAGCATCTAACTTTGTTCTTTCCAGAGCTTCAAACATAGCCGTATATGTCAATTTCTGTACATGTCCAAAATATGGCCTACTTTTAGGGACAAGTGCACACCAACAACACAAGACCCCAACCTCCACAATTATTCATTTGATATACTTTAAATATATGTACTTCCCCGCAAAGATTGGATTCAAATAGCATCTAACTTTGTTCTTTCTAGACCATCAAACATAGCCGTACATGTATATGTCAATTTCTGTACATGTCCAAAATATGGCCTACTTTTAGGGACAAGTGTACACCAACGACACAAGGCCCCAATCTCCACAAGTATTTGTTTTATACACAATACATATATGTACTTCCCTGCAAAGATTGAATTCAAATGACATCCCACTTTTTTATTTCTAGAGCTTCAAACATAGCCGTATATGTCAATTTCTGTACATGTCCAAAATATGGCCTACTTTGAGGGACAAGTGCACACTAACGACACAAGGCCCCAATCTCCACAAGTATTCATTTGATACACAATACATATATGTACTTTCCTGCAAAGATTGAATTCAAATGACATCCTACTTTGTTATCTCTAGAGCTTCAAACATAGCCGTATATGTCAATTTCTGTACATATCCAAAATATGGCCCACTTTGAGGGACAAGTGCACACCAACGACACAAGACTTCAACTTCCCCAAGTATTCATTTAATTGACAAGACATAGTGTTACTTTGGGCAAAAGACTTTATCAGATTGCTTTCTTTCTTTTGTAGATATAGTATCCTGAACATGGCTGAAAATCATACTTTCCCTCAAATTCAAAATTTGACCTACTTCTAAGGACAACCACGTGACAACCAAAGAAGTGCCCAAGGTTTGCAACCATGCATTTTATAGCACATATGTTTATGTATCTATGATTCAAATTTGAAGCAAAAAAAATCACCATCTTTGGAGTTACAGCACTTCGAAATTGGGCAGAAATAGCGCTTTTTCATAAGCCTCAAACACTGTATTGTGTTAGGGTTGCCCAGGTCCTTTAAACGAACTTCTTGAAAATTTCAAAGCTATTCTAGAATAGCGGATTAGTTGGTCTTTTATGCCCATACTTTGTTTTTTCCATAATACTAAAGCACTTGCTCGTAATCGTGCCTTAAACTATGCCAAATTTCATGCTTTTCTCATGTCTAAATCAGGGAAAATGGTCCTGAAACTTGTTTGGCCCGTTACCATGGCAACGATCGGTGCTGACCGGAAAGAAAGCTATTTTGAGGGGATGTGGGCCAAGTACTATCACTGTGCAAAGTTTGAGCCAAATCGATTTTTTGACCCCTGCCACCATTGTTTGATCCTTACAGACATTCGCTCTTAAGAAGACGTACTTTAAAATTCAAATAGATGCTAGACTCTAAATACAACATTGTTTGCATGGAGTTCTATATCTCATTCTTAAAAAAGACATAAAATAGACGCCGGGTTGTTTATTAGTTGCACTCTCCCTGTTAAATTGTATTTTAATGTAGCAACAGCCGTTGGTGTTGATTTCACTGTGCGCAATCTGGAAGCAATGCAATCATACTTTCCAGTAAAATTTTCACAGAAAGCAAATCAGAAGTTGTAACAATATGAATGAACAATATATATATATATATATATATATATATATATATATATATAAATGTGATATATAAATTTGTTATATAAATGTGATATATATATCACATTTATATAACTAATGTTTTTTGACACTTTGTATCTAAACTTTATTTAAAACTCTTGACAATTTGAGGACTAGCATGGAAATTGTGAAAGTTATAAAAGTATGTGAATAATCGTAGATTTTTTTGTCTGTAATGGTGCCATGATTGACAGGAGTTATTACATAGGGACAAAAGATAAGCAGATTCCAATCAAATCATTGAACTTGTTAACTTAAAAAAATGTCAACTTTGTCGTATCGGCAAATGAAAAAATCATAAGCGGAAGAATTTGGTCCATACGACTAAAACATTTTCAGTTACTTGTAGCCTATTGAAAAATTTGGTGCCCCATGCCTATCTTAACTTTCCCATGATCCCATTGCTGAGATCATGGTGTAGGGCGGAAATACGCATGGATTTCCTTCTTTACTTACAGACACATAATTCGCATGAGTGGTAATCGACAGAAATGAAATGAACTCTTAGCACAATCAAATAAAATTATTTGAAATTGGTCATTTGTAAACGTCAAAAATGATAAAGCTTTTTAAGTGTTGATTTTAGTAGAATGTTACCATAATGTGTCTTGGCTTGAGTTGTATTCATTTCTATAGGTTTAACAAAACAGCAGTTATCGCCATTGAGACTTAATGAACCTAGTTGCCTGTCTTTAAATGTCAAACTGTGTACTTTTAGAAATAAATTCAATGTAATCATGAAACATGTGTTGCAATATCTTTCTTTTAATCATTCAATTTATTTTTTTGAACCAGTAATTACAACTCAGGCCATTTTGGCCTGCTTTTCAGGTAATCCTGGTTACACATAGAAATACATTAAACAAATACACAGTACATAAACTATTCCTAAATACAACATCATAATCATCAACTACATCCTAAACATCAACTATCATGGTGTTTTGATACGTCACTGCCATTTGTCAAATACGTACACGAAAAAAATAAACAGCTTGGTTACTATTATAGTCCAACCCAAGTAGAAACGTATCAGATATTTACTAGGAGCTGTTTCTAGCTAGAGGTGTTTGTTAATAAAACATAGTATCGAGACACATCAAGTAAACATTGGAAAAGTTAATCGTCTGTGTCTTATTCATAAACATTCAGACCCACACAGCACGTGTTAGGTTTGAAGTTTTCATCTCAAGGTTCGGTCTCTGCATTTGAATAGTCTAAACGTCTTGCTACCAAACACGTTGCCGAATCACATATTCAGAAGCTGTTTTTATGACACTTGACATTATATTTTTCTTCAGCACCATCTTTCTAAGAATAAAAATATAACATTCGATAGACAAAGATAAAAAGCACACACCAAACGTCATGAAAATATATCATAGCTTCTTGACCTATCGTGCTTATTCCTAGCTAGACTGCGCCTTTTTGGATCCGTTAGACTAGGGGGCTCAGAACTTAGGGGGCTTGTAGATGACAAGCTTACCTATCCTATAGAAGGAAACAGACGTGTATAGAACTTCAATATTTGTACTAATAGTTAATAATGACTACAGCGACTACTAAATCTATATAATTAATGACATTTCCTAAAAAATAAGGAACTATGCTCACTTTGGTTGAAAGACGTACTTACATGTTCGGACAAGCATGATTCTTGCATCTGGCTTACAGTTTCACTAAGACAAAACCTGTACAAATCGTACCGACTAATGGTTTGGTGGGTATAGACTAGCATGTCGTACATCTCTGATGCCACTTATAGCTCTTAAATCTAGTTATACACATAGTGGTTACATGTGACTTTAAATCCACTTTACTCTTATATTTAATGTTTGATGGCTGGTCTACAATGAAAACGAGTAAATCAAAAGTGTATGGTTAAATTTGATTCTGTTTGCAGCTGTAGGGCACACTAGTACTACGTGCTGTCCTTGAAAATCTAAGACATCATGTTAATGCTAACGTAGTTCCAGATGACTCAAACTTGCGAGCTATATAATGTTAATTTACTTGCAGTTGTTTTGAAGAGCTTCTATTTTATTTCTATGTTTAGCTAAACCAAGATTCACCGTTAATCAAAATAACCATTTTCCCACTACCACAACTTAATTTCCTAGATAACATCCTTGTATAAGAGTCAGATAAGTCTCGTCATTTCTCACAAATATAGCCAATAAACTAACGCGGGATCGCACAGAGCTTAAACGGACGCGGTTTCAACCCCAGACTAAAGACGCCTTCAGTGGTTGGAGGAGAAGCGTCCTCTGGCGTCCTGAAGGTGAAGTACTGCAGCAGGGTCGAGAAGAACAGGAAAAGTTCCATCCTGGCCAGCTGCTCACCAAGACAGGCACGTCGGCCTGGAAATACAAGATGCCTTAGGGTAGTTGCTAACTCTACCCCATACCAAATGTTACGTCATGGGGCCCAGAAATAAATATATTGGATCAATTTAACAAAATGGAAGAAGAAGGAGGAGAAAAATACTATATTTTTAAAATTATTATCTATAGTATGAACTAAAATATACTAATTACCTCCGCCAAAAGGCATGAAGGACTCAGGCTTGTTGATGACGTTCCCCTCCGCGTCCAGAAACCAAACCGGTCCGGATCAGGCCAGTAGGCGGGGTCCATGTGGACGGAGTACAGGTTCAGTAGTATCTGGATCAAACAAAACATTAAATATGTCCACACATCCATACATACTTTAAGCATGATATGTTAAAAATGAGATCGGGTGAAAGTTTCCTTTGAGTTGAAAAAAAATTACCGAATAAATCATAGGTATTCCTAAAAAATCATAGATATTTTACAACGTTGAAAAAAAGAATGTGTCGTCTTCGACAAGAACGCATACCTGAGTTCCCTTAGAGATGTCGCATCCCTGCATTTTGACCGTCTCTGTGGTGGCGTGGGGGATCGAGAGAGGTACGGTAGTCCGGATCCTCATGACCTCCAGCAGACAGGCGTTCACGTAGGGCAGCTGGGAACGGTGGGACAGGGTGGGCAGACCCTCACCAACAACCGTATTAAGCTCCTCGTATTAAGCTCCTCGTGTACCTGTTAAAGTTACATTGTATTGAAGTCACCCTTAAAGACATCTAATGCAATTTCAGCGCGGCAAAACTAAAAATATTCCGAACAAGAAGTAGTTGTAGACATCATCCCTCCGTTAAATCGTTAATGTTTTTGCTATCATTTGGTGATACCCTAAACTCACACCTACAGACCATCATGCACGTGCACCAACGATATTATTTTAAATTATTACTGCAGTACCAAGTTCAATCACCATGAGCCCAAAGTCAGTTAACATAATCCTCTTTACCCTACCTACCATCCTGCCAAATATTATTGCATTTCTTTTGACAGATTTAGAGATATATACCAAAACATCATCCAGAGTGGAAACAACACACCCAGTTTCATTAAGTGTAATAGACAATCTGTATGATACTGACACATACTGTCCTACATCAGCACATTTGAATCAGTATTTCAGACGGTAGGCATTGAAAACTGCAGAAACAAGCCCAATGATTGGTTCTTTGTTCTGGGCGGTGCCCTAAAAATTAAATCGGGATCCTATTAGTAATCGTTTTTTGTCAGCATTTTGGGCATTTTTTATTCTATAAATGTGGATATACATTGGGACAGTGTTATTTTAACTAAGAAAAAGTGATTAGTATATTGACTTCCCAACCCTAAAAACTTGCATTTACGTCGCAACAGGTGCCGTAGAATTTTCAGTCAGTAGGGAATGCAAAGAACGGGAACATGCAAAAAAGGACTGTATCTCAGATTTTAGGTGATCTTTACATGGTTCTACATATTGTGACAACAGTAACATTTGATGCTGAACAGTACCTTATTTTGGATGTCGGGGTTCAAAGTCATATACATCAGACTCCACAGCAGTGTGTTGTTGGTTTTGCCTATTCCCGCCATGAAGAGCTCCATGGCGACGTACATGACGTTCTCCTCCGTCAGACCCTCCACCTTCTCCTGCTTCTCAACCTTCAACAGGCAGAAGTCCAGGAAGTCTCGCGGGTTCTCGCGATCCAGGTTCTCGCGATGGCGCGTGATCTCATCCCACAACACGTGCTGAATCTTGGTGCTCTGTTTCAGCACTTCCTTGAAGCCGCTGTTTACTAAGAAAGAAAATTATTGAATGACTCAAAACTTTATATTATTGGAAACGTATTGTCCTGCAACAATTATAGTCAACAACATTTTATTGATGCTAATTGGTCATGGATGGCGATTCGTGCATTTCTATAATCTAAAGTAAATATCTACCTAAACAATGCGAATTCCCGGGTTACCGCGGGGGCATCAAAGTACTTAGCGAGAAAAGCTTAAAAAAACAACTTAAGTTCAAAACAAACTGCTAGGTGGCCCAAACTTACACCACTTACTCCCACACCCAACGACCTCCAACTACAAATAAATCATTACCTTTACAGTTCCAGAAATTTCCCTCAAACATCAAAGCTTCGCTGTAGTATCGTACATATCCGCCATAGAAGGCCCATTATAAAACTTGATCTTGATCTTTGCTGCCCCTACCGATCCACTAGATGTCATAGGCAGCCATCTACAGCTTCTCTATTATGTTGTACAACATCCATACAAATATTTTTTTGTGTTTATGTAATGTCTTCGCATAATTGGCATTGACAACATTTTGGAATAGTAGTATACAGTATAACATCTGTCGATCTTGTGACTAAGAAAGTTGGAAAAGATCAGTGTCGACAGTGGATTCTTTTCTTTGCTCGCTGAAAATTTCACGGTAAGGAAAAGAGAAAGCAACGAGGTGTACAACTTTAAGTAAATCAATGTTACTTACTTCCAGGAACAAACCGTAAGAAAGGGAAAACGCTGATGATCTGTCCAGGCCCAAGTTCATCAACGACCTTATGCATGGCATCAACGAGATCTCGGAACGTTTCATCCCCGTTGTCATAGCACTTCCCGAACGCCATGCCGCTGATGACGTTTGCGACAGCGTCGCTTATGTCGTTTGAAGCATAAAACGGCATTTCTTCATATCCTGCCAACTAAAGTTAAGAACACGTAATGATGATTTTTTTTGCATTTATTTAAACATATTAAGTTTCTACAAGAGACTCCAGTTTAAGCCACCAGAACAGTTGCAAGCAATATCAAAGTTTATGAATTAAAGTTAAAGTCAGTGACAAAACGTTGCGGATGTTACTTCTAAAGTTTGACAGTTCCTTGTAAATATCAAAATTGAGTAATCAGAGATGACAGACTCCTCTATTATACTACTTTAAGTAAAAGAGAGAAAGAGAAAGGCAATGTGTGTTTGCTTGCGTTTGTTTATAGTGATTTGATCTAATATTACCCTGTTGCGGAGACAGCTCGCCTCCCCTCGAAGTTTCTCCTCAATGCTGCCAGGTCCAGCCTTCATACCCAGGTTCTTTAAGACCGTAAGACTAAACCTTATTCTCTGTTTGGTCTCGGGAACCCAGCGTGCAGCCGCAAAGCCTCTAATAAAGGGAAGGATGCGTGTTATTTCCGCAGATATAGATATAGCCACAGAAAAAAGTTTTTCAATGGCAATCCGACTGCCAAAATATATTTGACCCTATCTAGACTGGGCTTTTTTTGAAGATTCCTTGAACTGAGGGGACGGACGTATGGCTAGCAAATTAAAGATGATCAGTAATAGTAAACTAGCAGAAATAAATCATAAAAATAATTTTGTTTCATTATTACGACGTAATATAACCCTGATCTAATAATATGGTTATCATAAATCTTGTCCGATCACGCCAATTCACGGTGGTCGAAATTGGGCCCCGATCTCCCCACCTGCAGTAGAACCCGAACCATGTTCGATCTGACGTGATTTGAATAGAACGGTGTTCGAAATGGGGTCACCCGCGGTCATTTACAGTAAACGTGCGTCTTCCGGCCCCTTTTTACATGTGTATCTCCTAACAGAAAAAAAATCCACCTTTTAACAAATATAAACCATTTCCTGGACAACTACATCTCTGCCTTCATTTTGTAGTGGGCTGGAACATGAAACGAAGCTACTGTCGTTATCGTGGGTGACCTTGAAGATCGAAATGCCTGTACTCGCCAGCCTAAATAAACACTGCTCATATTCATGCCGTATGTCATGTGTGCAAAACTCGTTTAAGATTGGAAGCATGGAGAGTCCAACATATCTCATTGACGGCTCAAAATGACCGTAACGGGTTTGTCCAAAATCGTGTCTTAGGGATTTTCGAAAATGGACCTTGATTTTGAATTATGAGCAATTGAGTGCGAAAAATGTCAAAAAATGTAGTTTTTTCACATTTATGTCGACAAAAACTATACTTAAAATCAGAAATTAAAAAATTCCTAAGACACGATTTTTGATCTTATTCCTAGCCGTCAAAAGATATAAAAATCGGGGATTTTGGGTAATATACGTAGCCAATCTTAAACGGTGTTTGCATAAAAACATGACTCGGACTGTCTCGGACTGGCGCTCCAAATCCCGAAAAAAATCGTCTTTCGGAGCGAGATTTTTGAAAATTAGTAATTTAACGTAAAAAACTAACATTAAAGCTATGTAAAGACGATAATTTCATTTTATTTTGAGAGAATTTATCCTTCAATACTATTTGTTTATTTTCAAGTGGTTTACGGGTAGTCCCAAACTGGCCAAACTTGCGTCTTGTAACCCGATACGTTTTCGAACCCCCCTAGCAATGGGAATGAATACCGTAGTGACAGACCGCCGTGATTTATTAGCATAAATTACAGTTTTCTTAAATCAAAATTAGATATATAAAGTCTTATCAAATGTCATTGATGTTAAAAAAGTTGGACATAATGTTTGTTTAATGTTTAATGTTTCGTTCAAATTATTCCAGGCAGTAGGTCCCCTTTAGGTCCCCTGTCTTGTGTTACGGCTATGGATGTCTGAGTTCAATATGAAAGAGTCATAACAGGTTTCAGGGAGACTGGGACATTTATTTATATTTTAAACATTAAAAAACAAGTTTTAAGTCGATTTAAATCATAAATAGTCAATGTTTTTAGCTTTTTAAATAAGGAAGCACTAGAAGAAGTGAAAGATGCTCTTGATGCTATTCTGACGTACCGTTTTTGAAGGAGAAAGAGAGGTTTGAGTGATGTAGAGTATGTAGATGCCCATACAATATTGCATTATGTTAGTTAGCGATAAACAAGGCTGTAATATAGAGTAATAAACGATTTGTGGCATAAAAGGTTACTTATTCTCCGTATGATCCCAATATTCTTATAGATTTGTTTGCATATATAATCGATATGGATCTTCCAAGTTAATTTTCATCTATCAGGATACCTATAAAACAGGTGTGGGTAACGTGCGTAATAAGGTTGTTACTTATTAATGTCTTCTTGGATATTTCTTATTCTTTGCTGCAAAAATGGTATTTTTACATTTAAAGACAGTTTATTCGTTTTGAACCACATATTTAATTCATCTTCTTCTTCATTCACGATGGTTACTAAACTATTTAGATTCTTGTTGGACATAAATAATTTTGTGTCGTCTGCCAAAAGAAGAGTAAGTAATTTCAGTGAAACGTGTGGTAAATTGTTTATATAAATAAGAAACAGTAAGGGTCCCAAAATAGTTCCTTGAGGAACGCCACATGTAAGTAGGTTTTACATTTACAACTATCCAGATCATTCTGCATGGTTCGATATTGCTACTTTGAAAACAGTATAGAAAATATTTAAATTTGTTTTAAAAATGATAGTTATCAGGCTAGTCCATCCCTGCTATTATTTTTTAAGACTGGACCGTCTGAGATGTTTATTACTTTATGTGGTTATGGGGACCAATTCACTATACAAGCTGCTGAAGAGGCTACTAGAGCGTTGCCCTGGGCGTCATTTCTTTCATTTTAACTAAGCCACTGTACTATTTTCTAAAAAAAAATGCAAATGAGGTCCTGATTTGAATAATATGTGTTAAATAATATTTTAAATTTTTCTTGCAAATTCAGTATGTATAAAATTTATGGCAGTTACCACCATAAGACTATCAATTATGCAAGTTACGGTTTAATTTCCAATTCCAGTATCTTCCGAATCGGTTGTTCTTATCGTTCTCAATTACATAAGTCACGAGTTTATTATCTATGTTGGAACCCATCAGATTTAAGATATTACCTCATTTATAATACAAATTAGATCCTCATTTGCACAATTGTCATTTGATTATATTGAAACATAACTTAAGGTACCTACATATCAAAAGTCACAACGATCCGTCCAACGATTCTTATCATCCCTCGAAGGATTTTAAGTTTTTAACAAATGCTCTGCAGATCCAGAACGAAGCTGCTATGGGCCCCAAATTCAATTACTTCTTCTAGAGCACAAGAGCTATTTACTATTCGAAATCCGTGACCCTTACGTGTCACGAGATGTTAAACCGGAAGTTCCGCTGCAGTGTCATAACAAGCCCTGAGGGGAAAAATCTATCATCAACCCCTAACCACCTACCAAGTATTATTACAATTCATGAAATGGGTCTAGAGTTATTTACTACTATATCCCTACACACACACACACACACACACACACACACACACACAAACAAACACACACACAAACAAACACACGTACACACACGCACGCACACACACACGCGCGCGCATTGAATAGGGAAGGAATAGTTACCCTTTCCAAAACCAAAGACAACATCAATCATGTACTGTTCCGGTCTGGAGGCGAACAGCTCGGACCTGTCCACGAGCGCGTCCTTGACGGCAGTGTAGCCGTTCAGAACCACCACATCTTCCATCCCCATCCTGACGGTGAAGACGTCCCCGTACTGCCGCCTCCACGCCGTCAGCTTGAGGTGAGTCGCCCCGCCCAAGGCGAGGAGGTGCCCGAGAACGGGCACACGTTTCGCCGGGTAGGGAGGGCGATTTCTCGGTTGGCACTTCAACAAGAAATATGCCATGGAAAGGGTCACGCAGAAGACGAGAAAGGTCTGCAGAGTCAGCCCAGAGATCTGAAAAATCTTCTGGACGGACTCAATTATCCAGCCGACAATTACCGCCATGTTTGTCAAGAATGCAGATAATGTGATTTGCGCCTGCGCATTGCCTTTTTGCCTGTGGCAATGATCCGACGGGGTCATCCGACGACTGGTATAATTACACCGAAACAACCGGTTTAATCAATCAATCAATCAATCAATCAATCAATCAATCAATCAAACGGTTTATTGTCAACCGACTTCGCAGCACCAGGCTGGATATCGGCAATTGTAACATTCATTTAAAACATTATACGTTATAAAATACATTATATACATTATTAAAATCGTTAATGGTTCATTAAAAGGAGAGTCATTACTTTAAAACATGTGGTGTACGAGTACAATAATAAAGCTCTGACGTGACATAATTATTAATAGCAACGTTTGTCAACAGTGTGCTTGGGATTCATTTAATATTACGTATTCTTATCATTGATGGTACTGCACTATTTCTGTATCGAGTGGTACGAGAGATCGGTAAAGTCAGTGATTTTGCGTTCCGTAGATTACGTCCATGTGTCTTTGCGCGGGTTCGGGTTAACAGGTCTGCTGTTCGTTCTGATGCTTGCAGGCTGGTGGCAAATTTCCGGCAGAGGCTGGTTCGTGTCTGTTCGAGAGTTTCAAGTCCGCACAATTGCAAGGCTGACGCGTAGTCGGTGTTGTGTCGCCCGAGGATCGTCCGGCAGGCGCGTCTCTGGACCCTTTCGAGAGTTGCAGACTGTGATGGTACATTGGGGCGCCGTACTCCAAGATCGGTTTAACATAACCGCATTACACTGTAATCAAGTCAACCACCGGAAGTCCGAATGTTTTCAGTCTTCGGAGCATAAACATGCGCCTATTTGCCTTTTGTGTAGACTCGCTGACTTGTCTGTCCCACTTAAAGTTAGCTTGCAGCCACATCCCAACACTTTAGCCACTATTGCCTCTTTCCATTGGTTTGGAACTACCCCTTATCTGAGTGATACATTAAAGATGTCTGTCAGAGGACCAGCAAGTTCAGAAGCAAACATCTTTGCAATCCATATATAGAACGATTTTATAAAACGACTTCTATCGTCTATTGCAACAGTAACAAACCTTTGAATAATGAGATTTCTATTGAAGGTTAGAACAAGTTAGAATTCGTCATTTTTAAACCAAATATCAATAATATGCAAAACTAAACCTTATTTTGTGGTAAAAACGCCAATATCATTTTTCCAAAACATAAAATTTCATGCGATATGTTTTGCTCACAGAGAATGATATTGTCCGTCATTTTAACTTTTAACAATGATGTCATTGAATTAGCCTTGTAACCGATCTTACTGTATTAAAAAAAAGAATTATTCCATCATCTTAAAAGCATTTCCTTTCATTCTTTTTCTTCACAATTTTATTGAAAGTCTTCTTTTTCTTAAAGCATCAGTTACGAGCTTTTTCAGACTAAAAATATAATAGTAAAATGTAATTTTTGTCTCACAATCACATATGCATCTTAATTTTAGTACAGTCTATTGAGATCTTTAAGAAAGTAGCTGAGAAATAACCAAATAAAAATTTAAAACAGTTAAATATTTCTGGATTTGTTATGAGAAGCCTATAATCCAGCTATCTTTCTTTTCCTCCAAATCTTGCAATTTTGTCGATGACAATGACGGAACGTTTGTGCCGTGGAAACTGGAGTTCTGCCCACCACCTAGGTTTGCTCTGCAGGAGAAAACACAAAACATTGATCAGTGGAAGCTAGTGAATAAATAGAGTAGGTTTAATTGTTTATCATCAACGTATTACGCATACGGTATCATGCTCATTGCATACGGACACTTTATAACACAATCATACTTTATCTATACAGAGTTTTTTTTTATATCTGTAAAGCCAGCGACAGGAACATGTTCGTTACTGTTTAGTAAGCACGAATCATCGTGTGAGTTGGTTATATTACATATAAAGAGCTGTCACAATTAACTATCACCCATCTAAATTGAATGATATCCACAGTGCTTGCTGGCAAAAAGTTCAAATCTTTGATAGTTGTAGTGGAAAACGTATCTGTACATTGTCGACAAGGGCCCAAGAAGACATTGTCGTTACAAGTCCATTTCCAAAAATGTGTAAAAACATCAGTTATTTTTAACGCATATATCTTTTTAATCTATATATTGGCATGTTTGCCCTGCTAAAGTTTATTGGAAGTGGTAAATGTACCTGGACGTTAGAAGAAATTAACATATACATAATACACAAATGGAAAGACGAAAGATATCTAAATAGTATAAAGGTGTAATAAACATACTTGGAACAACTTGGCAGATGAACCGTCTCGACTCATTGCAGGCTCTGTCGTACCATTTGGCAACTTTCCAATGAACACAATCTTGATTGCGTCTGTTATCTGGCTCATTGCTGTCTCGGTCCCACGAGTTAAACTCCCCCAGTGCAGAGCCATCCAACCATTCAAAGTGCCCTTCCTCGCGCTGATCATGGAGGCCGATCCAGTGGCTTAGCTTGCTCGCCAGGGAGAGGAGGATGGCGTTTGTCTCAGCATCCTTAGGCATGAATAGGGTGCCGCCATCTTTGTGACATGTCGTTGTCGCGTTGCTGAATGACTTTTTGTCGTTGACGACATTGTAGCAGGTTCCACGCCATTTCCAATACCCAAGAGGACAGCTGACTAAACAAATGTATCGGTTATTCGTAAATATTTATCTAAGGAAGACTTGGTTATTATTGAAAGTGCCCTGAAGACATCAGAAATTATTCCTTTAGTTAAAGAACAAGCTGCTGGTAGACTGAAGTCTACCACTCATATTTAAGCATCAAAATCTGTATCTGTATCTGACAGTGTATAGCCGGTAAAACCGCCAATCGGCGCAACACATGAGCTTCGAATTCGCAGTCACGTGTTTCAGCTAGATTTATTAAACCAAACGTCTTGTTGCACTCAATCACTCAAGGAGATGTTTAAAGCTTTCTAGTGATGATGCAACTGTGCTTATTGGCAACGAATTCCACTCTCCGATAGTAGAAAAAGCTATCTGAGGAAATAAAAAACAGACCATGCATAATAAACTTGAGCAAACTAAAGAAAAACTGTCTTTGGACTTTTTTAACAACATACCGAATATTATAAAAATCGCGTTTCGCAAAGTGGATATTTCTTAATATAACTTCTGCCTAATGTTATTACCAAATTATACAAGTCTGACATGGAGCCTTTAAATTTGACCCCCGGTCCCCTATATCAAATACGGTCAAAAATTGCAGGCTAAGCTTGCAAAGTATGTAAAAGGCATGTTGAAGCTTAGAATACAATGCAAAACAATACAGCAATTTCAAAACATGGGACAACCACACACCCCAAAAGAAACAAAGCTATTTGGTTACCCTTCCTCTCTGCATAATGTCGTTCATTTTCCCCAAAATAAAGACGTTTAATGAACTATGGAAATGACAGGAGGTGAATAAATAAATAAAAAAAAAACATGAAAAAAAAAACACATTTCATTCATACTTATGGCATGGCGTAAAAAATGTCACCTTCAGTACAACAACGAGCTGACTCTCCTGGAGTTCCAGGTGGCCCACGGCAGGCAGACACAAGGCCAGGTGGCCCAACTGTTCCCATTTCTCCTGGAGGTCCAGGTGGCCCAGCAGACACAGGGCCAGCTGGACCTATTGGTCCCTTTGGTCCTGGTGGACCAGGAGGGCCTGGTGGCCCAGCAGACACAGTGCCAACAGGACCTATTGGTCCCCTTTCTCCTGGTGGACCAGGGGGGCCTGGTGGCCCAGCAGACACGGTGCCAACAGGACCTATTGGTCCCCTTTCTCCTGGTGGACCAGGAGGGCCTGGTGGCCCAGCAGACACGGTGCCAACAGGACCTATTGGTCCCCTTTCTCCTGGTGGACCAGGGGGGCCTGGTGGGCCAGCAGACACAGGGCCAGCTGGCCCTTTTGGTCCCATTTCTTCTGGTGGACCAGGAGGACCTGGTGGCCCAGCAGATCCATTCATTTTTGCCTGAACTTCTTTTAAAAAGAGTAATTGTGTTGTTTAATGTCATAACAGCGCTCGAAATCCATTTTAATAATAGGTTCACTGGTGCACCCAACCTGAAAAATTGCGTGCAGAAAAATTTTGTTTGGTGCACCATATAAAATAAAATAAGCAAATCAGCAACAACTCATTACGCTTAATTCCCAAGGAACAACTCTGTGTACCTAAGACGCGCTTTCTTTCCCCCAGCAAAGACCCCATTTTAATATCATAATAGCATTTAAATGAGCAAGGTGCGAGTAGAGGATCATAAATATGTAATAGTATAGTGATAATTGCTGTAGCTTCACCACCCATTGCCCCTCCTGCTATTTTGCATTTGTATGTGCTAACTTCACACCCTTTTTGAATTTTCAGTTTTTTTATCGTCCTATGTAAGACGACCTAATAGCTTGCAACATGCTTCAAAAAGATACTAAGAATGAAAAACAAAACATTTTCCTAAATACAGCATGTATCCACCAGAATCTCAAGTCTATATAATTGGCGATGGAGCCCCGAATTCAACTGTGCGAGGTTATAACCTCCTTGATTTCAGTCATGTTCAGACAATCTTTGTTCTCCATTTTAGTACCAATACATAGTGTATATTGAATTCCTGGAGATTATATTACGGACTAATCAAGGAGGTACATTTGTACTAGAGTTAATGCATTGTGTGAACCATAGAGGTAAGATTAAAACCTCATTGTGTGAACGAAGCTTGGGGACCTATAAAGTGGGGATCTCTCTACATTCTCTGAAAGTTTTGTATTACAATTCTGAGCAGAAGGGTTTGATCTAGACAGATTTTATCGCCTCACAATAATCTAATATTAATATCAATTATCGAACAATTATGCAGATTTTTGAAGAAAGAAGTGATTATTTAGAACCAGTGGTATTTTCTCTAAGTTACTTCCAAATTTGAAGTTGATTGGTCACGCCAAACTTGAGATACATGCAAAGTTACAGGTAGCTTTGTATCACCCCCATTATAGTTCAAAGCGCGTCTTAGGTACACGGAGTACAACAATGGTGACACGTAAGTGTTAAACGTTACTTAACCTACACAAAATTGGGTGCATTTGTTAGTGCACTGGTACACCCAGAGAAACAAATGGGTGCACAGCTCTAAATTTGGCTGCACTATAATAAGGTGCACATGCACCCAGTATTTCGATCCTTGTATAAACAAAAATAAGGTTCAAAATTAATTGATTAAATGCATCAACCTAAATGAGACGTTACTTGAAACATGATATATTAAATTTTTTCGAACTAATTAAGATGAAAATTCATCATTTACATCGATATGTAGACAACATTTAACGCAAAAAAAAGGACAATAAAAATTTAACTAACTTATGCATTGCGGTCTACATAATATAAATGTAACTTTCTGGCGCAAAGTTTTCATCTGTTTTTTTTAACATTCATAAGTGAAATCAGAGACCTGACATGGGGTTTGCAAACTTATTGATTTGAACTTTTTATATTAATATGTTATAGAAATAGTCAAAATACAGATTTTCACCAAATTGTGGTGGGCTAAGTGTGCACAATATTTTACTAACAGACGTAAGTGAAAACAAAATACTGAATGCAATCTAAACTTTCTAGCTTATAGTTACCTTGGGTCTTGCTGTTAACAAGTTGTATTAAGTTTTTACCGGATTAACACAGAACACAATACATATAAAAACCCAAATAATACAACTTTAAAGCCTATATAAAAATACAACTGAAAAAAAGCATTCGACTAATGTACCTCTATACCTGATGTCAGGTGTTTTGGCCCAAAACTAAAGAAATCGAATCCATTCAACAAAATGACAGAAGAAGACGAAAAGAAGAAGAAACATGAGGGAAAACAAAATATTTCACGCATACCATGTATGGAAGAATTATTACCACTTACCTTCTAACTCCTGTACACGAGTTTTCAAGTTGTCCACCTTCTCAAAAACAGTGAATCTGACTGTTTTTGCAAAAAAAAATAGGAAATGAAAGTCACCGACTCTAATGTTTAATAATTCTGTGATTTTAAGGTTGTAAAAGCATCCATTTGATAAGCCAAAGTCATTAGATAATAAAAGGAAACTGACCTACAAAATAAGACAATAGAACAGCGATGATCACGGTGACCAGATTGTAGAAGATTTGCAGCGCGCAGGCGCGTCCCTCCTTTTTCTTTTCATTGGCTAGTTTTAAACATAAACATATACATTAAATAAATATCAATGAAATTTTCTGACTACATTAATAAATAGCTGATACTTTCAAAGTATCAAACCAAATGCACAAATTGTCTACATAGAATCGAAGACGCCATGAATGGAACACAACTGTTTATAATACGAAATAGAAATCACAATCGAAGACATCCTTTTTTCTTCATCGATTTAATATTACGTGACGTCTTGATATTCAAACATTTTTTTTTAAATTTAAGATGTATAGTATAACTGTTGCAACCCCCTTTAAAACTCAGGAAAACGATTAAAAATAATGTTAAAGGCTAACGTTTTGAACCCGATACAGAACAGATCAATTCAATACAGGTCACGATAGCAGGGACCGGCACCCATCGGGGAAAAAAAGTTCACAACGTTCAGAACGTGAACATACCTATAGCTGTAGAAGCAAAACAATACTAGGTCTTAACTGAATATATTTTACCTGCTCTGGAGCTGTATATAGGGTTGGGAATACGCGCAGCGGCGTGGGCACGTGCTCGCCAGTCAGTCTGAGGCCGTTGCGTAGGTGCGGAACCTAATGACATTTTTAGATATTCATATACACGTAGCCCGCCACTTGCTCATATGTCAATAGAATCGATTGCTTTTATCACTCAGAAGAGGTACGGAACTTTGAATTACAATATTATAACCATCACTAAGAATGCTATATCTTTGATATTATCCATGTGTGTGTGTGTGTGTGTATGAAATTTAGAAAGATGGCCCTCGCAATCAGAATTTATGTGCCCATGACACCAAAATATGACCTTAGGTAATTGCAATTGACATAGTTTTACCTGACTATCTGGCACATTTACAATAAATATGCACGGTTCTCCTGTTACGTTCAAAATTCTAATGCCCTACCTTGGAAAATCCATCACAAGCCAGTACTGGCAGATGATTTGCACCTCTACATTTTAGTTTTGCATGTCTGTATTCTTTTCTGAGCTGACGTCATCCAGTGATGTCAGCTCAAGTAATAGTACAGGAGATGCAAATAGAGATGCCCGAAGTGAGAATTGGAAAGCTTGCTAGAGTTCCCAAAGATTCACTTTTAGAAGGCCGTAAAAGCTCAATTCCCTAGTCAACTTCAAGTGACTATATGTTATGTACACTTCCGATATTTGTATATATTTTATGGCCTACGCGCCCCAATCGAAACTATGCTGATTTTCCTACATGCTCCATGGTCCGACCGACCGACCGTTGTTCGTTCGTCCTACATCCGGGCTATTTTGTTGACCGAGTCCCGTCATTGTGTCTACACTTCCTGGTCTCTTATGCATGAAGCACTAAAAACTGGGCTACTATGTGATAAAATGTCAACATAGCTCTATGTTTGACACAAATATACATTTCAAATATAATTTCACGTTAATTGTTCTTCCTCAGGAATTTTAACTCGTTTTACAAATACTCCTTTTAAAGCCTAGTTTTTATGGTTTCTCTAATGGCTCGATTGGTAAGGAGGCTGTATTGGCAATGGCGCAGTGAGTTCGATCCCCGCTGCGGATTTTTTTTTTTTTAATTTTCTTTTTAACAGACGCTGTTTTGCTTTTAACACTCAAAAACTAGTTGTTAACGTTACTACTTATTATTTTAACATAAAAAAACTAGTTGTTAGGAAGGCCCATAGGTACACTTAGCATTTTTTATTCCACTTTGTATTTTCTATGGGTACTTTGTATTTTCTATGGGTACTTTGTATTTTCTATGGGTACTTTGTATTTTCTATGGGTACTTTGTATTTTCTGTGGGTACTTTGTATTTTCTATGGGTACTTTGTATTTTCTATGGGTACTTTGTATTTTCTATGGGTACTTTGTATTTTCTATGGGTACTTTGTATTTTCTATGGGTACTTGTTTTTTCTGTGTGTACTTCGCGAAGTTTTTTTGGTGGCTGGCGAAGCGACATTCATTTTGCTTTGATGTGGATGCTCCCATTTTTATTATGGGCGGTATATTTCTGTTTACCATTCCAGGCAACTAAATTTATTTTGAACCTATTAAAACATAATATACTTTACACTTTAAGAAAATTTTGTTTGTTTGCATGCAATGTTCCACACGTTTATTAATTAGGAGTATCAAATAGTGATTATTACATCCTGGCATAGATTATGTTAATGTAGACACAGGACCATACTATTTTCGGGGGTGCTAGGACATATTGTTCAGACTTCCGTCAACATTTCCGTAGCGATATATGGTAAATCACTTCCTCGCTGAATGTAAATTACTCCTTTGTATTAAAAAAAGCCCGTAATCTAAAGCGAGGGTTCATTGCCAATGTTGGGAAAAAATTGCATTGCGGTTTGCTGCCCTCCTACCAACCGCGAACGTTCATCACATGCAGTTTACGCAGGAAATGTGGACAATATGCCGTTTCAGTAAATAACCTGACATCTAAAATTGTTCATTTATGAAGTGCAAAAGCGTGAAACATAGGCCGTAAGCCATGGAGGTCGTTGACCTTTGTTGGGACGCCCCCCTCCCCACAAAAGTGCCAATTCATGTCACTACAGCACACATGTAGCTTACCACACGATTAGACGGTCAACCTAGAGTGTAATTTGAGTTTCTGTGAATATTTCAACAATTTTAGATGTCAGGTTATTTACTGAAACGGCATATTGTCCATATTTCCTGCGTAAACTGCATGTGATGAACGTTCGCGGTTGGTAGGAGGGCAGCAAACCGCAATGCAATTTTTCCCCAACATTGGCAATGAACCCTCGCTTTAGATTACGGGCTTTTTTAATACAAAGGAGTAATTTACATTCAGCGAGGAAGTGATTTACCATATATCGCTACGGAAATGTTGACGGAAGTCTGAACAATATGTCCTAGCACCCCCGAAAATAGTATGGTCCTGTGTCTACATTAACATAATCTATGCCAGGATGTAATAATCACTATTTAATACTCCTAATTAATAAACGTGTGGAACATTGCATGCAAAGCAAACAAAATTTTCTTAAAGTGTAAAGTATATTATGTTTTAATAGGTTCAAAATAAATTTAGTTGCCTGGAATGGTAAACAGAAATATACCGCCCATAATAAAAAATGGGAGCATCCACATCAAAGCAAAATGAATGTCGCTTCGCCAGCCACCAAAAAACTTCGCGAAGTACACACAGAAAAAACAAGTACCCATAGAAAATACAAAGTACCCATAGAAAATACAAAGTACCCATAGAAAATACAAAGTACCCATAGAAAATACAAAGTGGAATAAAAAATGCTTAGTGTACCTATGGGCCTTCGTAAGTTGTTATTACTGTTCTTTCCATTATATGGGCAAGTGTTGCCTGATTATGCATTCTTGGGGATTAACATTATCGCCATGGGTAATATATTACATGTAGTATGGCCATTGTAGTATGGCTGTCAATATAAAAAACATGCACAATTGAAATCAATTGCTCCTGACATCACATAAGAAATCTTTGTATTTCAGATTTGATAATTAAGAATCTAATTTCCTCACTTAAAAATGACGTGAACTAGCTCCTAATGAGCATCAATTCTGGTTATCTTTTCCTAAACTATCTACATGCCAATAGTGACAATCCCAATGTAATGTGTATGTAGTATAGCATAGCTAGATTTCAATCAAAGACTTTATCATCACTTCATAAAAAACATATTTTTTGCATACGATTTTGTTGTGCAAAAATACAACGGCGTCAATCGACAGCTTTTTCTAAAAGCACTTGTTTGGTTTAATTTGGTCTTTAAGTGATATGCCACCTAGTACCCTGCACTGGACTATAAGGATGTTCTGATAAAATAATAACTCAAATGCCTGTTGCATATCGCCGAGATTTTGATAGGCCGCCGTGCCATGCATTACACAGGTAAATTGTATTCATGCGAAATGTTGGACGGTTTTTAGTGTCCGGTAACATTGAATCACAAGTGTCATTACGGTGTAATATGACGTTTTTTTTTTACATCATTTCATAATTCATTGTGTAAGGTCGTCTATATCTTTTTAAAATCAAATTAAACGAAGAAACAAAAACTATGTTTGATAGTATTTAATAGCCTTTTTGGCAATAGCAAGCGCCTGAAATTAACGCTATGCTTGTTCAATCTATCCGCCATATTGGACCGGCAATATTGATATTTTAACATCTTTCTTTCAAATTTTAAACCTAAAGGCACAATGTAGATAGACTAAAAACATTATGGATGATTTAAGTAAATAAATACAACGTTGTGATGAACCTATAGAGAAAATAAGCTGGTTACAATTGACAAGGAAGAAAATTTCTTACTGGTGATATTCGAATATGATCAATTACGCTATCATATAATATATATAATCTATATTTGCAAGAGCTATCATTTATATTTACCTCCATGAAATGTGTCATGGAGGTTATATTTTCAGTTGCGTTTATCTGTCCGTCCGTCTGTCCGTCTGTTGGTCAACAAGATAACTCAAGAACGCCTGGATGGATTGGTTTCATACTTGGTGTGTTGGTAGGGTGTGACGAAAACTGGAAATGAATAGATTTTGGTCCCCCTAGTGGCTTCCCTTGGTACTGCAGCGCAACTTCCGGTTTTGATATCTCGTGATCTGCTAGGGTCATGAAATTTTGATGGAAGGTAGCTCTCGTGCTTGGGAAGAAGTCAAATGAGTTTGGGCCCCCTAGCGGCTTGTTCTGGAACTGCAGGGCACTTTCTGGTGAAATGTTTAAAAGCCAATAAGTCCAGACAGGAACAACATATTTTCATTATTTTTGGTGTGTAGGTAGCTGAGAGAGAGATGTACATAATTAAATGCAAATTATGCAAATGAGGACTGTATTTGCATAATTATTGAGGACATTCTATAATTACAGTGTTTTACATTATACTACTTACATACATGTAATGTATGTGACCTATGGCAGGCGGAAGTTCAACAGATACTAATTATGCAAATGATGACCTAATTTGCATAATTAATGCGAAAATTCTATGATTTCGTAATGGTGAATGATGAGAATGTCATACTTGGGACATCTGTAAGTTAATCTAAAAGTTTTTTTTATTTTTTATTTATTATAACATTTAGTAACAAGACAGGATGACGACATACTCAAGCTACAATGCTTATGTTTGTGTCGTCATCGTTACAAAGATATATACATGTAGTCACAAATACAGACATGCAAAGCATAAGAGTAATAAGGTAAACTAAAGTAAGCCGCATTATAACTAAATCATAAAATATGTAACAAATATATAGCAGTATATGCAGGTAAGTGATAAGTGAATAAGTAGGCATTCCAAGTCAAACAACAAACTGGTAGGATAAGAAATTGATGGTTACTCAAATCTTTCCGTTTCTTTTATAAACAATTGAACACATTGTAAGAGTTTAGCGTTGTTAGAAGCCGACAGAGAAGAGGAACCTCTAAGCAGTAATTGTACTAGGAGATTATCGGGAAGGTTTTGGATGTTGATGGCAAATCCTACAAGTTCGGTTAAATTGCTGAAGAGGGAGACACGATATTGAGTAAACTTTGGGCAATGCAGAAGA